AAAGCTTTGATAATGTTTGCCATAATAAGTTGTTGGTCACTCTTATCATTACAGGCGACTTGTACAACTGGGCGTCAGATTATATAAAAAGATCGTCACCAAGCTTTGTATGTCAATAATATTCTTTCTGACACAACACTTGTTAAATCTGGCGTTCCCCAAGGTAGTTGGTATTTCTTTTTTATAATATAAATGATATCACCAATGTGGTACTAAATTCTATCTTCATCTTTATTCTGATGATTGTAAAATTTATCCTGTGGTAGAACAGATGGCCTATCTCCACTGCATCAACAGAATAGCCAAGTGGCTATATTATAGGCAAATTACCCTTTCCTTTCAAAAATGTAGCGTTCTTCCTATCAAGGTTTTTTCAAGGTTTTTTTCTAAAGGTTTCGATTTTCCTATTCTTATTATTAATGGCAATATAATCAATACAGTCTCACACATTTCCGATCTTGGAATAATCATGGATGAAAACCTCGATTTCGACCCTCACTGCAGAATTATGGTAAAGAAATCCTCAAGGATATTAAATTTTATTTTTCGTTCGTTTAAGAACAAAACTGAAGGTTTTCTTACTGAAATGTACAGAGCGTCGACGTCTCCTTGACTACAATACTACCTGTTATTCCTTGAGATATCGCAAATTAAGTAAAATAATTGAAGATTTCAAAAATATTTTATACGACGTCTCTCTCCTAATAGCAATTTTCAATGTGGATTCTCTCATCGAATCAAACAAGATTTACTTTATACTTATAATCTGCATGGTTATGTTAAACTTGATTGTTCAAAATATTTCAATTTCAATTTTATGCTGTTTGAATCCAATAAGAACTAATGAGCTAAAATCGCTAATCACTAAAACCTATAAACTATATATATATATATATATATATATGAACTATATACAAAATTAAACTAAGGACTCATGGATTCTTTATTCGTACTGTTAATTACTGGAATAAATTACCAAACGATATAGCTTGCGTCTCATCCTTAGTTATCTTTAAAAAAAGATTCGGTCATTTAAATTCATTTGAAAAGTTCATGTAGGAAGTGTGAGATCTCGATTTTTAACATCGATTATGTAAAATACAATTATTTTGAATTGCGCTACTTTATTTCGTGATTTCCTCTTTATTTCCTTTTTAAATTATTAATTTTTATCTTTTTTCATTTTTTTTATCAATAATTATTACTTAAGTGTTGTTATTAATACAAGTACATAGCATCTGTCACCTTACTTGCTGTTTTCAGTAAATGATAAATGATATAGATGGACCCCCAGATTACTCAGATTTTTTAATGACAATTTATCTCAGCCGTGGATCGAACCATTGCGTTTGAAATAAATCTACAACTGAAATTAAATTTGGAACTTTTTTTTCTAAACTTTCCATGTCTTATTTTATTGACTCTCGATAAATTGTATATGTTAGTTAATTTATTCTTTATTTGATTAACATTCATTTCTTATTTTTTATTACAAATGAATAAATCTATGTATATAAGATAGATGCTAACTGAAAATCATAATAATGAACTTTCCACTAGTTATTCATCATATTTATCTCTATCAAAAATTAAACTCATGGTATTGCAAAAGTTTTTCAAACGATATATGTCATATCATGTTGAATCCAGGAGAAAACTTAGAATTTGAATGTGAAAAAATATTGTTGCCTTGAATCCAACGAAAATAAAATCCAACGTAATTACATTGACAAATTTCTTCAAAAAATTTAATGAATTCTTCCGTTTCTGTTACTAGTAAATAAACACATATGCAAAAATTTTTGACGAATCATCATGTTAGACTGAAGTGCAAAACGTTAATACCAAGAGAAATTTTAATATGATCTTAATCCAAATCCATAGCATCATCAGCAACACTTGTTGACTGATTTACATATGATGCGGACGTGGTGGCTGGAGAATTATTCACAGAGTTGGATGGTGTTAAAAAATCGTCGTCCAAATGGGACGTGAAAAATTCTTCTTCACTATCATCCGCCGTTTCATACGATTGTGCTTCATTGGCACCAATTAATCCTGCAATAACACAAACAATGTAATAAAATTAAAAAATGATAATTTATTCAATAATAATACATTGTAAAAAAATAGAATTATTTAAGACATAATATAATGAACTTGTCATACTAGTACTATATTAGAAAAAGAAATTCACCTATTTTTCTCAAAAACCGCCAAATTTTGTGAGGAAATTTAGACCCTTTTCTCGTTTAATATTCCTAAGCCCACTGGTCAGAGAAATACAGGAGAAACAGAAGTGCTAAAGAATAATTATGAGGATCTAATGGATGAAAGTGTAGCAAAAATAATGTTTATTTTATTATACATCCTTCAGGATTTTTAGAGGTCCAAAAAAGACAGTTTCAGGTCCAATGCTAAAGGAATACAACGAGCTATTTATAAGGTAAATATATCAAGCCATATTTGCTGCCGACAAATCTTTTCTTAAAAAATAATCAGAGTTCACCTCTAAAAATATTGCCAAGAAGTCCATTACTGTTCGTAGATTTATTCGGCGGTGGAAGACCGAAATAAATCTGACCAATCTTATCCAAATAAATACGATATTCATTATCACGTTTAATGCTATGTTCATATCTTTCCACCAGAATAGTGAAAAATTCTAGCTAAAAATGAAAAAACTGATAAAGAAAAAAGAAATATTTAGTCAATAACATGAAATATATATATATATATATATATACAAATTAAAATTGAATGAAAATCAATTAATGCTAATAAATAAACTTATATTGATCCCAAATTCCAACTAACTTTTTTTGTTTGAACAGAAAGAGTTAAAAGCCAAGCAAAATTGAGAAGTGGCAATTGATAAGGAGGCTCTCCACTTATTTTTGGGTGTTCTATACAATACTGTTGTAAAAGTACCGCGGCAGTTTTTGGACGACGTTGACATAATAACTGTAAGAATAATTTCATTAATTATGCGAAATTTTCCTTATCCTCAAATAGTTATTGCTAAAAAAATTTAAAAATCGAAATGACAAATTAACGAATTAAATGAAAAAACAAAAATATTAAAATATTGAAAGGAATTAAAATAAAAATTTTAAAGCCAAATATTTTTTTTAAATAACGTATAAAATATGAATGAAATAAAATTAAAATTGAAAACAAACCTGTAACACAGCCTGCACTATAAATAGATCTTTTTCACTATCAAATCCACATTTCTGTTGAAAATCGATAAGAAATAAAGCGAATTTCTGCAAAATCCAAGGTTCCAAGAAGCAAATATCAAAACTAAACACTTAGAACTTTTTTTTCAAGTGAAACTAACAGGAATAATAAAAGATGAATTAAATTGAAGCAATCTTAGCTTCTTAATTATCATTTAAAAACTTTAGAATCTTTACTTAAAACAAAACTTAATAGCAAAAATAAAGAAAAAATGTTCTATATTCAGAGAAAATGGTCTATTCCATATAATTCGTAAATAATTTATTGATTAAAATGCAATGAAGACGTGTAAATTATATCTGTAATTAATTATTCACTAAATTAAATTTAAACAAGCACCCAATGAATTATAATTTAGAAATAATAAAACCTCGGTATCGTCGCAAAGTATCAAATGATTTCGTGCAGCTTGATAATTCCCTTCTTGCCACAATCTCATCCCAAATATCCTAAAATTTATTTAATTCCGCAATTGATTACTCAAATTCTTGCACAATCTTTTACTAAATACTAAATATCTTCATGCAACGTCGAAAAATGATTTACTGAATATTGAAATGTTTCCAACATTGCTGTCCAAATAAATTTGAAAACATAAATTTTGAAGTTCTAACAATATGAATTTACCGATGAAGACTAGGATGTCCCTTTGCACGATATCGCTTCTTATCACTGACTTTCATTGACCATTTAAGAGCTGATGATAAGAAATTACTTCTTTTATCAACTTTATTTGTGGAAGGGTCTTCTTCTTCCAGTGATGCCGGAATTCGACTGAATAACTAAAATAGTGGATTTTTCAAGTAATATTTGGAATTTTTAAACTAATAAGGTAACAGTAACATCTATATAATCCATTTTTGTAGGATTACAAAACCTGAAAATGGACCACTTCCACATTTCAAAAAAGAATTTTCAAAAATAATGAAAAATTCAACTCAAATTCTCATTTCAGTAAAAAATCAACTTGATTTTTTGAAGATTTATATAATTCTCTAACTAATAGATGAAAATGTATCAATTAGAACCTGTTGCAATCCTATGCGACAATAAGAAAAAAAATAGAATAACTAAATACCTGTTCTAAACGACTGACAACATCAGAAGAAATACACGTTTCGAACTTTACCAATACCTCAACGAAAAGTTCTGCCAAATCAATAGCACTAACAACTTCATTAACTGAAAATATGGAATTTATAAATTTAGGGAAAGATTTGATTCATTACTTACAAAACAATTAAAAACCACAAGTAATATATAATTTATAATAGTGGAGACTTCTTCTACAAAAGTGCAGAACTATTATTTCATTCTAAAATAAACAAGGCGACTCTTAACTAAATATGTACAATTTTAGACATAAAAATCTATATGAAAAAATTGATTCACAATGGTCCCTACTCGTTCAATACCACCTGGTATATCTAGTCTGGCTCAACAAAACGAGTTGAACCTGTCGCCCCACTAATATAGTTCCGATAATAATCTTCCCAGTAATTTATTAGCATAAGAAAGGGGAAACCGTCACAACCAAAATGCATTGCGATTCACTTGAAGCTTAAAGGTAGAATAATTAGACGATACGGCTGCTAGATGCAATAAGGAAAAAAGTACAAAAGTGAAAAAAACTTTAAGAAGTGTATGGTTGCATGAATGAATTGGATAATAAATGAACTGGGTTTGCGATCATTATGGCAGTATATAAAATGGATCAAGGAAAAGCGCATAGTGCTGTTTGGCACGATATTGAAGAAGAAAAAAGATAAAACAAATAAAAAGATCCTCAAACGAGGTCGAAACTCTTATGCTCTAATTTTTATAACGATATGAGCTAAACAACTTTATATTTATTTATTTATTGAAATAACCTTTCATATGATAATGAAAAAGAATGAAACAGACCTTCTAGAAGTCGAAGAGCACCTTCATATAATAAGTTGAGAAGTTCTTTCCATTTTTCTTGCGAACATAATCGATAATATAAAGTTCGATAAATCTGATGAGCTTCATAAAAATAACCATCTTCCAAACAAGAATTTAATTTACTTTCAAGCCGTGATATCTAAATTTTAATTAAATTAATTCTTATGCGGCAAGATCAGCTTATTACAGCGAGATATTAATGGCGACATGAAAGGGGAAGAGAATGGGTTAACATGTTGGTGCTCACTTCGATTCGATCATTTAATCGGCAGAAATAAACTTTTGAAAAATCCGGGTGATTCTGACGACTCACCTGTCACTAAATAACCCCCGGAAAAATTTATTTGGTCCAACAAATCAGCGGAAAATGGACCTTAGAAATATTTCTTTTAAACGATGTCAGATTTTAAGAAATATTAAGAATATTAAAATTAATATGAATTTCCAAGACAACATATAAAGAAATATTTGATTAGGGTATCGTATTTTTTTATCATTCCTCTAACAGGTGACTTTTTTTTATTAAAGTGACATTCACTGGTGATCATTCCGCGACTATTTAAAGCAGCCAAATGAATCTAGCCGTTCTTCACTTCATTTTTACGATGCATATTGTTTATTGCAATTTCATTACAGTTTCGTATCAAAGAATGTTCCAGAAGCTATGGAAACGCGAATGATCCAGAAACTGCAGAAATGTGAATATGAACAACAACTAAGGGACATACTGGCTTATTTACCTCTTCATACCACCACCACTGCACTCAGCTTCACAAATCCCTTAAAACATTTCTTAAAAGGCCTCGAAGCTTTAAGAGGTAATTCTTTTTCTCTCTTTTGCTACACATCACTCCCGTGTAATTTGTCAATTGAAAATAACTGAAAAGCTAAAATCACCTTTGCCATCGCTGTTCAACTTTTCATTTGAAATAGACAAAAACGGAATTTACGATATTCACCTGAAAAAAATATTTCCGATGAAAATCTATTTCCAGGAAATGCTACTTATTTAGGTTATTTTAAGAGAAATCTTTCAAGTTTCGCAAATTATCTTCACTCCACAAGAGGACATTTGTTTCCTTCTTTTAATATTTTATATTTCGAAAACAATTCTTTCGAATTCCTACTATCTTCTAGAATTTCAGCTCACATGACGCACCATTTTTTTGGCTTGGCATAACTTCATTAACTATATTAATACTAAGACATTTGATCGCCTGGGGTCAACATTATAGCCCCTTACCACGACTCAGATTTGAATCTTTGAGAGAAACCAAATGAATAGAACCAAACCCTCTTGGCATATTTCTTACCACTACTCGTTTTCAAATTTTGGTGAGGCATTCCCATTAAGAGTTAAATGCTCTTTGGCAAGCATACTAAAACTCAGCTTGTCCCTATGCACATAAACTCCGCTGTCATTTGCCAAGGCTTGAGCTGCGTTTTAATCTAAGCGACCAACTATCGTCTAGCATATAAATTTAACAAAAATAACGATATTTTAAATATTTGCCAGAAAAATTCGATGTCTAGGCGAATTTAAACTTCTTGTTTCGCTAATGTGACCGCATGTCTGATTGAAGTTTCAAGGCTAGGTTGGTCAGAATATAAATTATAGCGCTTTTAAGATTGTAATTTTCAAATTTCGCGCTTGTATACCGTAATCAAGTCCATTTCCAAAATGGATCACCGAGTATGAATCATGACGATGGACGGGTGTCTACGCATGGCGTGTTGCGCTTGAAAAGGGTTTCGGGCTTGTTTTGTTGATATGTTGATCTGGTTTTGATCGTCGAGGGTCGGGGTTTTCATTTTTGGAATATTTTTATTGTGTTTTTAAAAAAGCTGCGGATTAGAAATGGGTGGAGAAAAGGAGGAGGAATTGTGGAACAGTTATGTAAGGAGAAAAAGGATGAAGATGGTGGGGGGAGGGAAAAGGTGACGTGACGGGAGTTTTTTGATTCAGTAATTGATAAACGAGCTATTTCTAGGCTATTTTACCTACTATCTTCTATTAATTGAGACTATCAGGCGATCTTATATCTCGAGCAGGAAAGTGAAAAGGTTGAGTTGCAGTTCAAAAAGATTCTAGAAAAAGACAGAAAAACGATGGTGAAAGCTGAAGAGAACGGAGTAAGACATTTAATGATTAGTTTTAGTTAATAATAATTTTATTTAATTAATAATTAATTTTCTATTTTACTGAGAAAAAAGGCTCGAAAAACGAAGGCCTACTACTACTTGATTAATCTAATTAATTGATTGAACGAGGCGAGGTAAGTAATTCATGGGTCAAGAAGTATGACCTTCTAAATGAACATTAAGAGTTCAAGGCTAAGCTGGTCGATGCCATGCAATTACATATGTATATGTACCATAAGTAAATCAGGTAACTGATATGTCTGACGTGGAGAGGTAAGCTCGAGCTATACATGTATATATCGACCGCAGCAACGTATGCCTGTTTTTTTATTTTTCGTTCTTCAATATTTTTGTTGCCATTTTTTCAATATTATTTTTATTCATTTTTTGTATTCTCTGGAATTTTGAAATATTTTATGAAATTTTCAATTTTTTCAAAATAGAAATTGGTCCATTAATTCACGAATAAAAATGGATTATGGATAATTTTTTTATCTGCAAACGATTTTCGATTCACTCAATTGGTTATCTTAATCTATTAAAAATTTCCAATTTATATAAATTTATTTTTTTTGAAGGATGCAAGTGCTAATCTTGAACCGGAACAGTTTCGAAAAATGTTCATCGGTGGCCTTACAAGTTCGACTAGTGATGAAACGCTTAAAGAATTTTATTCAAAATGGGGACAGCTTGTCGATTGTGTCGTTATGCGTGACCCAACAACTAAGCGTTCGCGCGGTTTTGGTTTCGTTAGCTATTCGAAACAATCTGAAGTAAATTCTCAAATTCTTATATGTTTTGTTATTGGAAGAATTTTTCACAATTTTCTATTAGATTTTGATTTTTGATAGTAAATGATTTATTTAGGTGGATGAAGCTATGGCGAATAGACCACATATTATAGATGGCAAAACCGTAGATCCAAAACGAGCTGTTCCTCGAGAACAATCGGAAAGAAGTGAAGCAACTGTTTCTTCAAAACGTTTATATGTATCAGGCGTACGGGAAGAGCATACGGAAGATATGTTTAAGGACCATTTCAGCAAGTATGGCAACATTCTGAAGGTATCCATTCCTTTCTTAGGCAGCTGGCTTGATGGAATGAGATGCAGATTGATATTCATTAAAACTTAAATATTAAACTTGTGTTGTTAAAACATAAATTCATTTTTTTAAAGTGTGAAATAATCGCTGATAAAAACACCGGAAAACCACGAGGTTTTGCATTTATTACATTCGATGATTACGATGCAGTTGATAAATGTGTTCTTATCAAAAGTCATATGATCAATAACTACAGATGTGATGTAAAAAAAGCGCTTAGTAAGGAAGAAATGGCGAAGGTTGGTTTTTTTTCGAAGTTTTCTGTTTTCTTGTTTTTTTAACTCCTTCCTCCTTTTAACCCGATCTTAATTTTAGGCACAGCAACAGGAAAGAGAGCGATTGGATCGAGGAGGCAGATCACGAGGGCCACCGCTTCGAGGTGGTAATGGTTGGGGACCTGGTGGTGGTGATCGTTATGGTGGACCTGGCTGGGGATCAGGTCCAGGTGGACCAGGAAGTTACGGTGGATATGGAGGTTACGGAGGTGGTTATGGGGCGCCATCTGGTGGAAGTAAATATTTTATTAGTTTCCTTAGATAAGCCTAAGCTGATACAGTATATTTAAATAATCAGTCCAGCCTTTTTTTAGGATGGGGTGGAGATGGTGGAGGTGGCTGGGGTGGACCTCCATCGCAAAGTGGCGGATGGGGTGCACCTGGTGGTGGTGGATCCGGTAAGTTTTTCTCAAAATTTTTTTAAATCTTTGTGCGAAGATTCCATTAGTACTTGGTTTTTCGCTGTTTTTTAATTTGCATATTTTACTTTTTATAAATTCTCTTTTAAGGCGGTGGATGGGGTCACAATGGTGGGCAAGGTGGTTGGGGCCAGGGGAGTCATGGTGGAGCGCAATCGTGGGGTGGTGCTGGTGGAGCAGGCGGTTGGGGTGGTCGAGGATACTAATCCTATATTTGAATGATTCACTAACTGAGTCCATCTAACCGTCATGGATCTCTATGCGTCTTTGTTGTCTCTTTGAAATAACTTTTATTTTTTATTAAAATTGATTGTTATGGAAGCTTCATTGGAAATGAAAGAACGTTTATGTTCGTTTACGTTTATGTTGCTCTATCTTAATATTTATTATAGTTTTCAAGTGAATTTACATATTTTGTTGATTGTTCTATCTTGTTTTTTTAAAATTTTTCAATTATTGAAATATTTTTTTAAACATTTTTCCGTTCGATTGAAACATAAGCAGTTTCTCATTTAGAAAACAATTTTTTTTGGCTGAAAAGCTATTTTTGTACGCTTTCTATTTCGTGAATTAGAAATTTGTATTGTGTATTTGATATTTTAAATAAAAATCTCATTATTTTTGTAAGGTGTACCAAAAAGCATGGTGGCGCAGGAGGGGTCTTCGGGTGAGTTGGGTCAATAATATTAAGCTGTTAATTTTGAGTTGTGCGGTCTTGAGACGAAGGGTGGATATATTGATTTTTTAAAGAAGTGTGTAGGTGCTTGTTTTTGTGGTGTTCTGCGTAATTTTAGGTTATGTATTGCATTGTTAAGTGAGTTTTTGTTATTAATTTTAATATACAGAAGTAGAAATGTAGAATTGGCATTAATAATTATTTTTCGTAGTAATATTTTTTGTAAAGAATAGTTCTTATGGAAGAAGAAATCCTTAGTGTTGTTATTTTTTGCCTAAAAAAGTTTATTGATTTTTTAGAGGTATTTTTATAATCGAGAAGGAAATAATGGAATAAAAGTAGTAATAATAATGAGATTTGTAAATTTATTGGTTTAATTGTTTTATCATTGATCTTATAAAATTTTATTTAATAATTTTTTAACTCCTTTTCATATGGCAAGAGAACTAGAAATCTATACGTAGAAAGGTGTGGAAAGATATATTTCATAAATTTGTTCCGGTTTTCCGCTTTTATTTCGCGCCTCCTGTTGAGGGTTTGTTATTGGCCTTCTCCAGGTTTTATTTAAGCTGGAGTGGGTTTTTGTCGGGTTTCATTGCTACATCGACATAGGTGAAGGTTGATGAAGCTTTTAGCATTTAGCATGGGTACGATAAAGATATGAGTTATAGACGTGAGTTGAGTATTTTGTGGCGGGGTGGTTCTGTCGATGTTTATCAGGTGTTATCCGGTACGCCGAATGTAGAGAACAGAGCATCATCGCTGCTGAGTTTTTGTGCGTTCTGGCTGCTTTGGGTTATCCTCTTGAATTTCTCTATAGCAAATTTCTGGTTAGTGGCTTCGTTGATGTTAAAGTCAAATATAAATAGAGCATTGGAATGGTAAAATAAATATTGCGGGCATAAGAGGTGGAGGGAAGAAGTTATATTTCTTTCTTTAAAGTATCTTGTCAGTGTGATAGTGATTTGCCGTAACGGGAGGATGTCTTTCGAGGGTGCTAGATAACCGATAATGCACCATTCTGTCTTTCTGTTATGGCAAGTATTTTGCTATGTGTAGTTGTCACAAGTGGATCTTTACGTCTTTTTTTGATGCTTTTGATAAATATTTCTTTAATTTCAGGTTATTTCTAAATAGGTTAGCTATGTTAATAATTCGTTGAATTTTTGATTAAGTGGCGATATGTGGTCGCCAAATAAGATTTCTACCAATGCTTTAGATTGGTGTTAATCGTGATTTAGCAAGGGAACAATTTATGTGTTAGTGTAAAGCAAGAGAAACATTTTTTTTTTTCTTGACGACCACATATCATTTATCATTTTTGTTATTTTTTCTAATACATTTACGAGATTTAGGTAACCAATTGTTGATCTGCTCTGCGCGATTTTATAGGACTCAGGTGGAATTACAATTCTAGTAATCATTTGATTCTTAACTTGATTTTTATAAGTAGGGTATTGTTATGAGCTTTTATGCCTTCCCATTTTTTTTATTGATTAAAAAATTTGAGGATTTTAAGGTCTGTCTTCCATTGTCAGATATCTTTCATTAGATGGTAAAATTTAATTTTATAGCTGAAATTTAATTTTGATTAACTAGTTAGTTTTTTTCGTTTTTATTTCATGAAGGAAAAGTATATAGTTTTCTGGAATTATTTATGTAATTGTCTGGAAAGATTAATTAGATTGATTTAGGTTAGATGATGAAAACTGATGACAGCTTAGATTAGGTTAGATTAATTAGTTTTTGGTTAGACCAATTCAACCAATTTAGAAATTTTGCGCAAAAACAGATTAATGCCTAGATCTCGATTAGAACGAAAATGCACTTCCTTCCAATTAAATGTTACTACTTATAAGTTGTTGTAACTTTAGATTTGCTGTTGAATCAGTTGAGCAGAATCTCTCACACACAGACAGATACTAGGAGTGTTGTGCATCATACCGACAGTGTTATATTTCGTACTACTCCGTACTTCTACTTTACGTGACAGGAAAAGCCAGTTCTCTATCTATCTTGGATACTCTCACACACAAGAGATTAGAAACGATGGTGAAAACTGATGATGGTGTAAGGTTTTTACGATAGTTTGTTTTTAGGAGGTGGATACGGTTTATTGGTATACTAATACTGATTACAGGATGAAAGAGAATATGGCGGGATAAGAATATAAGGTAAAGATGGTATGATAAACCCTTTACAACATCCGATATGCGCCAACAGCAATAATCTATCTCTTATTCCTCTCGAAAAAATTCATTTTTTATAGTTAAGTTTCTGAATTTTATAGAACGATGGTCTTGAAGCCGAGCAGTTTCGTAAAATGTTTATTGGCGGTTTGTCCAGTTCGACTACTGACGAAACTCTCAAGGAATACTATTCACAGTGGGGTGAACTTGTTGACTGTGTTGTTATGCGAGATCCATCTACAAAACGTTCTCGTGGATTTGGTTTTGTAAGCTATAAAACGCAAGCTGAGGTAAGATATTTGCGACTATTCCATAGGATATTCACTGTGAGCGCTGAAAAGGTTAGAAGAGCTTTGCTAGTTTTAGGGTTGCATCGAAAAATTAGTTGATGAAGCGTCTTCGAAAAAAATTAATCATCTGTCTAAACATTTTTTTAATGTAAAGGCATGTTATATTCTTCTATCTTTTTCCCACTTAGCGTTCAAAGAATTTTTTTTACTAAATATTAAAAATTAAGTTTCTCTATTTCAGTGTACTAACTTCTTAAGGTTTAAAAATTATTTCTGGCATTTTTAATCGTAGAACACTTTATTATTTGAAGATAACAAAATAAACCTAGAAGAGGATGCTATTTACCTAGATAAGGTTGAAAATATCTAAATTGTTCTATTCGTAGAAAATTGAAGCTAATTTTCTATTTCAGAAATTTGCAAAGATTATTTTTAGGTTGATCTGGCAATGGCGAATAGACCACATATGATTGATGGTAAAACAGTGGATCCAAAACGAGCAGTACCAAGAGATCAGTCAGTTCGTAGTGAAGCCAATGTTTCATCGAAGCGTCTATATGTTTCAGGTGTTCGAGAAGAACATACAGAACAAATGTTTGAGGAGTATTTTTCTAAATTTGGCACTGTTCTAAAGGTATGCACATGAAATGTTTTATATTTATTAGAATTCATTGGTATATGCTGATTTCATTAAAAAATCTTTTTTAAGGTTGAAATAATAAATGATAAAACAACTGGAAAGCCTCGAGGATTTGCGTTTGTGAGTTTTGAAGATTATGATCCAGTCGACAAATGTGTTTTGCAAAGGAGTCATCAGATTTTGAATTATCGTTGTGATGTGAAAAAAGCGCTTAGCAAAGAGGAAATGAGTAGGGTCAGTCGATTTTTTTTTCGTGAAATGTTTGACAGTATTTTATTAACAAAAATATTTTTGCAGGAACGAGATAGGCTGGAACGAATGGGGCGCTCAAGAGGTGCTATGCGAGGTGGTCCTGACCGTTTTGGGGGACCGCCAGGCTATGGAGGAAACTGGGGTTCTGGAGGCGGTCAGTGGGGTGGCGGCGGTGGTCGCTCTCAGTATTACGGTATTTTTTACCAATTTACGCAATTAGAGCTTTCATAATTAAGGATAATGGTTTTAAAACCTAGAATCCCTTTAGGAGGATATGGCGGCAGTTATGGTGGTGGATATGGTGGAGGTGGACCAGGTAAATCTTCATTTTATTGCAGAAAAGTTGCCGTAAAAATTGATCGTCAAGTAAAAATATTTTGTTTTATGAATGGTTATTTCATTTTCTCCTTTTTTAAAAATACTGTTCGTAGGTGGTTGGAATGGACCAGCGGGTGATAGTGTCAATGGTGGTTGGAACAGTGCCCCGCAAACAGGCGGGTGGGGAAGTGGTTCAGGTGGTGGTGATGCGGGTTTGTTATTGATTATTTTAGGATATTGGCTTTTCATAAATAGTTATAAAATCATAGAATTGCTTATTAATTCGGCCAAATCATGAACAGAATAATTTTGTTTAGGAGGTAGCACATGGAATCAAAGCGGAAATCAGAGTTCTTGGGGTCAAGGTAGCGGTCAACCTTGGAATTCATCGCAAGGAAATCAAGAATGGAATGGACGATCTTATTAATATCTCATTGTGGTTTTTTAATATTAACCCGTCGTTAACTTTTATTATTGCTTTTATTATTCTCATATAATTTATATTCCTCTTAACCACAGTCGTTTCCTATTATTGTCTGATCAAGTAATGGCCTTAATCCTTTAGCTGGGATTTTTTTGGAAAAAAGCCAATTTCAGTTTTTTCTTGTTGAACATCAATTTGTGGTATTGTTGAACATCTTACATCTAATTTTATATGTCCCGTTTTTTGCTTATTTCTCGGGTCGTTATATCAGTCCATGTTTGTTGATTATGCTTTTCCTTAAATTTTTCAATTTTTTCAAATTTTTTTATTAATTGCAATTTTCAAATTCATTTTGTGGTTCAAATTATTGTGGAAATGAAATAAAATTCACCAAAGCAGTTATTTTTTCGTGGGTTGAAATTTGATAATTGGATTGGCTGTCTGTTATTCGGTCTCTTAATTTATATTTTGGTCATTCCGTGATTGAACCGAATCGTTTCATGAAAACCAAGAATATATACAGCTTTATTAGTATAAAAATTGGTTAATTAATTAAATAAAGACATTTATTCGATAAGAATGGCATGAACCGTTTGTTTGAAAAGGATTGAATTCCTTTAATAACATTTTCATTTGTAAAACTGTTGGATTGAATGGGAAAAAATGTGTTGATGTTCTTATTATGTCAAGATTTTTGGATTAGTGTGGTGACAATTTTAATCGCGGATGGAGATTGAGTGATTTGTAGATAATTAGTAGGGGTTTCGGTTAGTACAAATGCAAACTTATCTTTGATTACTTAGATATTTAAATATTTCAAGCAAAACTGTTCGATTTTGTAATAATTAATGCTGGTTGATGGCGGTGAATGTGAAGATTTGTTTCATGTAAAAAGGTTTCAAATAAAAAAGTTCCTGCGATCACTCTAAGTAGCCCTGTGTGTCGATATATTTGAAGTTCAGATGCGGAGTGGTAATTCCGAAGGTGTAGATTTAAATAAACCCCAGAGAAAGGGAGGTGGATTTTTTTCATTTTTTTTTCAGCAATCACATCTTATTCGGACTAAATCGTACTGGAATATTTCAAAGCCGTTTGTTTATTTATTATTGGATATTAAATTTTCTTAAATTTTTAATTATTATTGTCGCCGAATTGCTAAGAAAGCTGGAAATATGAGCATCGCACCTGCTGCGCCCAACAAAAGAATTAGTGAAAAAAGGAGAAAAGAATGGAAGATATTAGAAAATAGCACGGAAATTAAAAATTGTAAATCTTCCCGCCCATCTCAAATTAAATATAAGTTACCAAAAAATCATTTTTGGCTATTTTAGGCTTCTGTTGGGAAAGGAGTGGGAGCGATGGGTGAATTGTTAATTTTTCAAGTTTGGTTTTGCTTGATACATTATTTTTCTTTGTAATAAACAGTAGTTTCGTTTTGCTTTCTTTATGTATATTTGTGTCGTTACTAATAAAGGTTTAATAAAGGTTTAAGGGTTCCAAGTTTGAAGGTTCGAACGTTCATAGCGAGTTAATCATTAAGCGAACGCCTGCTGCGGAATTTATAATATTGTTGACAAAATAAAAGTGCCGAGTGGCAGAAAATTTGTTAAATCTATACAGAAAAACACGGTGGAGCTGATTCACGAAGGAATTTTGTAAAGCTAGATATTGGAATCGCTGTGCTCCCACCGAAAATCGTGCAGTTATGTTCAATTACTAATTCATTTTACCCTAAACCAAACAAAATAACAAGTTTTAATGTATCATTAATGACGAAAAAGGAAAGAAGTTAAAAATCGGTAACGATAAATGAATTTGATTTGCTGTCCATTAAAAAATTATCTGCTGACGATTTTGCAGATTTGCTTCTATTTTGCTCATTTTGTGATCGAATCGAGGTGTCAAATGCTGTTAGAAAGCTTAAAATTAACAGAAATTTGTGGTTAACTAGTGATAAGATTATCGTTGAGGTTTTGTTTATATCTACTTATCTACTTCGAAAGTCAGGTAAAACTTTTCGAACTGTGGTGGATATTTTAGAGTCTTAAGGATGGATATCCTCGTAATGGATATGGATGAGATGAAATTTTAATTATTACCTCTTTTTCCACTTGCGATCCTTTTTCGTGATTTCAATCGTGGTGAATAATGGCGAACTATTCCTGATTCCCTAGCTGAATCGATGGCAACGATAATTGGTGGAATATACGATGGGCATGACGGAGATTCCAGTGATAATGAGGTAGGACATCTTTAAATTTTGTACTGATTACTGATTGGAGGTTCAGTAGGTTCAGCCATAGCTAAGTATCATACCAAATGCATCGTTGGATATATTTTGCCTCATTCAGTAATCAATAATAATAATATAATAACAATACTCACGGAATAAAACCCATATATTTATTGAAAACCAGCCAAGCAGGGCGCAAATGCCATGCGCTTGGTTAATGATTATTACTGACAAACAAGATTATGAATACTTCGGTTAGGCATATGATTTTCCATGATTTCGCTCGGAAAATCCGTGCGAATCAATTAAATCCAGACTGCAAAGGTTTTCATCTTTCCAGTGATGATTTTATTTTTTTTTTTATGACCGCTCACTATTACTGGTTTACTTGCTTGTCGGACTAGATAAACCAGAAAGTCCCTTGGCGATAGATATATAAGTGAGTCGCCAGCATCTGCCAGATTTTTGAACAGGTTTACTTCTGCAGGAGGTAGAATTTCAGCATCACCACTCCGAAATGAGCAAAAACTCACTAAGCCATTCTACTCTCCTTCATTTCTGTCACGCGACAGTGCCGCGTTGGCAGATCCGAACCCAAGCCTTGATTCTCGATGGTAGTTATCTTGCCACTGGGCCACTGAAGCATCCCACACGAAGTTTTGTAGGAAAAGAGCCTTGTTTAAGCCAAGTAAAAAAAACAATATAAATAACCTTATATATTCGTCAGCAATTACATTATTATCATTTAAAGTATCAACTGATGCATATCGTTGCATTCGCCTCACATAACGTCCATATGTATCCGATGGTGCAAAATTATTCGATTTAATGAAAGTTGGTGATGACTGGTGGTGTCGATCGGTATATCGTTCATTTGGCGCTTTGTTCGTATCATGAGCAGAATCCAAATATTTCTCTGTAGCAATAATGCTTGATTGACGAGCATTATCAATTTTAGGATTTATTTCGTAGCAATTTGTACTTCCAATCGATCCTTAAATTAAAATCCGCAATAAATTTAAGGAGTAAAAAATGACTTTCATGAGCCAAGATTATATCACTAATTTAATTGGTCAAGAATAAAGGCAATTATCGTTTTTTGGATTTTAATCCAATTAGAAGCCAAAGCTGAGAAAAATCTTATAACAAATATACCATAAAATAACCAAAATTTCCAAGGATTTAACGAGAAATTCTTCTTTCATTTTAAAAAGCTCCAGATGCTCCTGAGGGATCGAGCTTGGGAATTTTTAATCCGCTTTTCTACATGTTATAATAGATCCAGAAAATTAAGGGGAAATGGGGAAATCAAGGGAGGCGATAGTAGCGAATTTAGTAGAAAAAGGACGAACCGGAAGTGCTTTCTTCATCCGAAGATTTATCTATTTTATTTCGATCTCCAATTTTCGAGAACCGTTTTCGAGAATTAAGCAATTCTGAAGCTTTTGTGGTGAAACGTCGTTGTTTTTGCAAGCTCTTTTGTTCATTTGTATTAATTTGTTCAATTTTTTGATTTTCTTCCCTTAAAATATTTTGTATTTGTGAAAATAAGCAAACAAAACTAAGATGTTTTCTAACTGTAAAGTTTCTTAAATTTGAATTTGTATCAAGAAGTATATCACATATCACATAGAAGATGTTGGTATTGCTAGATGGCAAAAGATGAAAGCCACTTTTAAGGCCATGATTGCTTTTTCTTGTTGGGCGTAAAGGCACGCCACGCGAGTTTTTTTTGAGTACGATTGTTAGTTCGAACTTCGAACACCGTTGTGATTTGAGACTTTATAGCCTTTGCTTTTTCGGTTCAATGACATATGGATCAATTATAAATAATAATAACTTTGACTTTAATCTTCAAGAGTCATGGAATTCCAAAACTTCAAAGAAAATTTGTATGGGTTTTAGAGAGCACCTTTTTATAAAAAAGTATATAAACTATAGAGTCGTTGCAAGCAAGCTAAATTGATGTGGTCTGTCCTCTTGGTAATCTTATTTCATTCACCTATTATTTCGGTTGTTGAATCGAGATGGTGATGAAGATGGTGAAATTCGCGATGTTGATCTGAATAAATCATATTTTAGTCGTGAAGGCTTTCGATTTTGTAGTGATGGTGGTGAATATTGGCCTATTATTATTGGCTGCTGCGGTTGCTTGTTTGATATATTCGTAAAATAGCACTGTTTTAGTTCCTCATTACTACTTGTAGTGCAGCCTTTATCAATATTACCATCGAATTCTCCGCTAGCCGAATCAATCTCACTTTGTATTCTTGCCGTATTTTCGATTTGCCAATACTGCTGTAAAAAAATCTTTCCAGATCACTACCTAGTTTTACGTATATTTTATATTATTACATCAGCGATGTATTAAGTCTCGATGAATGGTTTTCACTTAATAATAACCCTGTTGATCCCCTTTTCAAGATCTTTCGGTTGATCTTGGACCGTTTTCACATCGGTATGATTTGAATTTAGATGAATAGTTGGATTAAAAGGAATCGGTCGTTTGTGTACTGGAATTGTGCTGTCAGACGCTGTTCGGCTTTCACATATGCTATTTTCACTGTGTTCGAAATCCATTTCATCCTTTGTTACTTTATCCTATGATTGAAATTTTTCAAAAATCTTCTAAGTTGACAAAGAAAAATGGAAGATAACATTATAAGAAAAATTTAGTAATTTCTTATCAATTTTTGCTTATATTACACGTTGATTTTAATGGAAATACTGTACAATGTCATCTAAACTAATACTTCTTCAGCGAGTCAGTTTTTTATCCAGTTGTCTAATCATTCTATGGACATATGACACTCTTTAAATATTAAACTGATTAAATTGATTTTTAGGCTGTTTTTTATCAATTTATCATATATTTATCATATTATCATGTACAAAAATTTGCTTACATTTGCATCAATATTCTCATGAATAACGATGATTTTCGATGGTGAATCTGAATGAAAATCAGCTGTTTTTGAGCCAATATAATTTACGGATAAAAATATATTGATAAGATATAATGTAGAAATTATTAATGAAATAATACCTGCCCACAATATATTAATTTCGTTTAATGATAGCTAAAATTTTCACTTATTTTTTATTGATATATATGCTAAATATAGATCCAATACAGATATAGTTCGCAGGATCCAAACCAAATTTTTACACTCGGGGCAATAATCTAAGTAGCAATTAGTAGCATATTAGCTATTTTGCCTACAGCTTTATTGGTACTGCTCTTGGTTTCTTTTGAGCCGGTTTTTTCCCGCAATTTATTTTTCATTAAAAGATTTATCGTAGCGATATAGAGTTAGCTTATTTATGATAATTAATTTGGCTAATGAGCCGAATATGGCAAGTATGTTAAAATCATAACAATTTATTGCCACACGACTAATGAATGTTTCAATCGGAATATTAAAATTCTAATAAAAATATATAAGTAAAACTAAATCATAAATAAGAAAGGAAAAATACCTTCCAATATCCGAAAGTAAGAATGAGAGCAAAACCAAAAAATATAAAACTCATAGTAAAGCTTAACATAATATCGACTTTAAACCAAATTCTGCTTTTATCAATGGCTCGTTTATCAATGATATGCGAATTTTGTCCATATTTTGAATAATTATTTAATGATTTATATAATAAAAATAGTCCTGAAAGCACAAATTTTAATAATTTTCATTGAATAGTGTAACATGAAATCTTAATTTGAATGATTACCCCCATTAATCCAACAAGTTTAACCGCAACGTTTTAATAGCTTAAAGTTTATTCTTCTCTTCCCCTAACAGTCACTTTAAATGGTCCTGCTGGCAATTAGGCTGAGATCCTCTCACTAAGGAGATAATTGGCTGCGAAGTTATTGAAGGTTTAACAGTGAATAGCCAAATTTCAAATGGATAATGATTTTAGAAAATTTGGAATAATTAGTAAAATAATTGATAAAACAATATCAAAAATGGGAGGAAATTTTCATGAGATAAACTCTACAAAATTAAAAATTTTATCCACGAATAAGGAAAGTTTTAAATAAATTCGATCTTTTCCGCTGAATAAATTAATTTCAAAATATTCAGAAAAAAGAGTGACTTGATGACTTATTGCTCATATTTAGAAGCGCGGTTACAAAAATAGAATTCTACCAAAAATTCACGTTGTGCTAGCGGCCTATGTTTCTATCTCCAGTTGACTAAATTTTTTCGGCCCCGCAGGCTCAGCGGGTCTGACTAGGAAGCCTTGGCAAAAAAAAATTTACCAAAACTTCTTCCTTATTGCATTACATTTATTTTATTGCAATAAAACTATATTTTTTTATAATTTTTAAATAATAATTGAACAAAATTTTGAAAATAGACAAAACGTAAACCAAATGGTGGAATAAGAAGGCATGTAATTGTTAAAATCCATTGCGAACCAATTTTAAAAATACAAATTATAAAACATAGCGAACTAATAAATTGCAATATTTTTACAATTATATTTATTATTGTTATTATATATCGTTTATTAATGTTATTTATTGTATACATCTGAAATTTAAACACTTTAAAGAGGTATATTATAGTGATGGTTTGCTTAATCTTCTTTTCTGAAAACACGAACCATTTCTGGTTTGGCACAGATGGATGTGTTTAGATGAGCCTTTTATCATATATGTATAGAGAAATGGAGTTTCAGGTGGATCAGGTTATTTGAATTCCACTTTTTATTTCTTAGCAAGAGAAAAGAAATGAACACATACATCAAACATTCCACTGAATGTGTGCAATCAGCATGAGCAAATCCCATTAGAGCCATGCAGATTCACTTTCTCATGAGGGTCAGAAATTTGGAGAATCCTTTTAAACGATTTTTCAGTAAACCCTACGAAAAACTCTCGAAAAATCACAAATTTGATTCATAAATACTGATGCGTATTTATTCAGGCTTATCAAAAATAACCGGTTTCAATTCTAATTTCTAATTTCAGATGCGTTACCAGAACGAGAAGCTCTGACTCTTATAATCAGTAGGACTAACCAAAAGAGAAATGGTGCGATGTGTTAGAGAAAGAACAAGACTGTTCAAAAAATGGGAGATATTTTTTAATGATAGGTTGACTAATCAATATTTCTGGATTTTTACTAAACCAGTACTAAGTTTTAATGAGTTTTAATGTACCACAGTTCTTTATTTTGATTATTTTTATTTAAAAAACTGCTAGTCCGGCTTATAAAATGGAAAATGCTTACTCAGTTTCCAGTTTTTGTTTTGCACAGCTTAAATTATCGAAGTAGCGAATGGCGAGAAAAACAAGAATAAAACGAATGAAAATCCTGGAAGAAATTTATTTTTTAATATTAAAAATGACAAAAAGAAAAATAAAACATTAGAAAAATTTTCATTATGCCAAAATTACCAAACAATATATTTGGACTAAATCTAATATACGAAATAAAAATTGCAAATTTTTTAAAATTTTTTTCACAGATTTTCCAGTTCCAACAAAAGTTTTTATAAGCCAAGTTGAATTTTAAAAAAAGATGGAAATAAAAAATGTGCTTTGATTTTTATCAGAAAAATCATAAAATTAACGATGTAAAAATTAAAATAATGATGAAATATTTGAAAAAATTCAAAAAATATTTCAATTTAGCGTTTAAATAAAATTTAAATTCATAAATTATTCATAGAAAATTCATAAAAAATAAATTAATTCATAAATCCATAAAAAATTAAAAACCAAAAATTATATTTTCTTCTATCAGCACGCATCGTTTCTGGTTAAACTAGCTCCACTCACTAGAGAAGACTATTTTTAGCGATAAATGAGGAGAAAATCCTTAGAAGCAACTCGAACTTCGCTTCTAATGGTAAATTCTTGCTACTTCTTCTTAGCCATAACAATATACTCGATATTGATTTAACTGTAGATATTATGAATGCCTTAGTAGAAAGAGCTGAAATTTGCTCGAAAAATCGTTCAAATGAATCTTTTATCCTATGGCAATGTTAAAGAGGACCAAAGAGAAAATAATTTTCGATAATTGAACTTTTACTTTTTTAAATCTTATTTTTTGATAAGTATAAAATTTTAAAATAAAAACATCGAATTATAATAAATATTGATCATTGATAAAACAAGTTTTAGTTATAAAACTGACTAGAAAAACGAGTTATGAACTCGTCGTTAACTTTCTGGCTTACTTGAATTACTTCTCATTTCTCATGGAAAATAAAATTTTTTTATGAAAATTATTGGACCGTATTGGATATTCTCTCAAATAAATTATTCAATAAAATTATTCAGTTAATTTGCTGTATTCTTATAGCAATCGCTGGATTATATCTAAAGGAATTTTCAAGATTTGCCGTTAAAATTCGAATTCGTTTGGTTTCTGCTGGCGCTCTACCTTTAAGTCGGCAAATATGGTTTCTTTGATGGAAAAGCCAACTGAAATACTAATCTTAATTGTTAGCAGAGTTGATTTGAAATCAAACTTGAAATAGCGCTTATTGTTAAAAAAATAAAAAATTGAAAAACTTTTTTAAAAGACCATATTTGTTGAACACTAATTCACATGGTACTTAAAAGGTTCTAAACCGACTTCAAATCGATTTTAACTTCCTGTTGCAAAAAATTTAAACTTTTATACTTGTAGGATATCTACAAACAAATGTTTAGAAAATGATTAGAAAAAAAAAGACTGGTAAAAAATTTTAGAAAATAAAGTGATACATGATTATTTTATTATTTTACTTTTAGTTTGGTAGCACTATTCGGAAAAGTTAATCAAACCTATAAGTAGATAGATTATTATGAATAATAAATTATTTCTATAAGAACTTTCTTCTTCCAGCAGCAGGAAATCCACCAACAAAAGCGTCCTTGAAATAGTATTTCACATTTTTATAGGGCAATTTTTATTTTCTTATTTTTTTCCTTTTTTCTATTTAAATAGCATCGTTTTTAAGAAAAAAAATTTTATATTCAAATAAATCTCACAAATAATTTATTGAAAAAATTATATTTTTTATAAATTTTAAAAAATTTTAAAATGAATATTTCTAGAAATAAAAAATTTTCTATTTCTGTTTTTCATTTTATAAGAAATTTACAAAACCTGCTGCACGAAAAATTTTGCATTGTCAATTTAGCAATAAATATTTTTGCATGAAATGTATGAGATAATTAGAAAGTTGCTTAGTACCAAGGAAATGAAAATATTTGGCAATTATTTTTTGTCGTCGCTTAGAAATATTTGCTCATCCATGAGCATTTTTTTTGAGTAGGATTTAGTATGAGAAAAAGCATCACAAAACTCTTCATCACTGATATAATGCTAGAAACACTGGGTCACTTCAAATATTTATCCTTTTGGTACCAATTTAGTAAAGACTTACAACTAATGACTGAAATTTCTCAACATATCTCTAATATTTGAATAATACAAAGAATAACAAATACTATTAGAGCATGTTAATGATCGTATGAAATAGATAACTTTTATTCATAACGATGCGTTACGCTTAACAAATAATTTGGTCAACTGGATTTATAGCGATTTATCATTACCTGTAATAATAAATAAGAAATTTGGACAATTTAGGCTAAAAGGGAATTTATAATTTAGTTATTATTGCTTTAAAAAACGTTTACTTAACGTTAACGCTGAACTTCATACAAAAGATAAAAATCTACTTTTTGCATAAACCTTTCTTTTGTGAATACGCCATGGTGATACGAATCGAAGATTTTTATTTTTCAATATATTCGATATTTTAAATAGTGATATTGATATTTACTGATATTTACTAAGATTTGTAATAACTAAGATTTGCTTAATCATAGTCTAAGTAATTTTTCTGGCAAAGGGATGTCATAACAGCTAAAACATTTGATTCCCTCTCTTCTTCCTCCTCTTTTCTATTTCTATCAAAAATTATCAAACTTGATTAAATTGGTTCTTCTCTTGAGCCACTGTTCCTCTGTTCCTCATTTCGTTGGCTTAGTTAATTGCTGAGGTAAAGATGAAGCGTTTACCAGAGAATTAATTGAGGTACAGCTGGGCATCTAATATTCGCTTCGATCTCATGTGCTTCAAATAAAAAGCAGTTTTACTTATATCAAGGAACTGGAATCGAATAAATGCTGTTTAAAAAAGCAGCAACATATATGGTTCTCAGCGCAGCACAATCTACTTATTAACACCAAATCGGTTCCATTTGATTTTAAATATTTATATTTATTATGTGTTAGATATTTTTATTTTTCGATATATTCGATATTTTAAATAATAATACTGATATTTACTAAGATTTGTAATAACTAACGAATAATAACTAATAACTAAGATTTGTAAAATATTATCTAAAAAAAAGCTTATAAGCAGTCAAAAAAGCGTTCCATTTAGAATACTTTTCAACAATTATTAACTAAATTTTATCGAATTTTAATTTCCCATTTTTAAATTTTTAATTTTCAACTTAATTTTTTGGAATTTTTCTAAGGAAAAAGCCTATTTTAATAATTTTTTAATAATTAAATTTTTTGGTAAATTTTTAATAGGGTGTAATAGAGACGAATTACAAAGTGTTACTATTACTATGAATTCTTTAGATAATCCCTTAAATTTAGACTATCTTAAATCACGACAAGTTAGCGGAGTGAGTTTAACCAGTTAATGGCGAGAACTCTTTAAAAAATTTTAATCACTATGGCAATTTGACTGATAGTTCTCTGAGAACCGTCCTTTAATCCCCTTTGACATCCTATCAAACCACACGATGGTCTTTTCTAGCAGTTGACACTAAGAACTTAAACTTCCTTGTAGTATTTTACTCAGATCTACCCAATATACTGCAATGATCGCGTTTCAACGAAAAAGCCTTCATGTTGCCTCCATACTTCCGTACATCTTGAAATCTTCTGATATTCTCGAAAACAGATTGAGCTTTGCGAAGAACTTTCTCAAATCCCGTCAAATATCCTTAATACCTGAATATCCTTAAAACTCAATTTCATTCACTTGTCATAATTTATTAATGATATATTTTAAGCGGTTTCAACCGCTTCTGCTAAATCCATTTGCAATTTTTCAATACTCTCTCTCTCTCACCACTTTATTCTATTAACGCTTTATAATTTTGTGGCTCATCTTTGCAACTACAGCAATAAAATATAAAAAGTCGCTTATCGTGCATGAAGGCATCAAAGAATTAAAAGAGAACTGCGATGAGTACTAAGGGAACATAAGGGAAGAGTTTGATCAAATATCATGAGTTAATGAGTTACTCTAAGATCGAACATTTTTCGATCTTAATGTATGTGCATACAATTCGTCTATTCCCTCCAAAACTTGTATATTTTCGAAACTTCTTGATGCTCGCCACATATTATTTTTCTCCTAAATCTGGTTATCTTTAGAACCCGTTCCATGCTGGGGCTCTATTTTAGCCTAATATAAATAATACGTTCCTTCCTGTAACTTTTGACCTCCTGTAACTTTTAGATCCTGCCTTACTTGCCTTATTTCCCTATTTAGTACATAGGGCTCTATTATGCTTCATAAAAATAGCCATTTCATTGCCATATCACTAAAATTTTATCATAGTTCCATCTGTAAAAGATTAAATGACCTTTACAGGTCAGCTAAATTTTTTTTTGATATTATTTGTATCATATTTATATCATTGTTATATTTAAATTGACCCATCAAAGTAACTTTAAAGTATCGATTACGATTAACTAGCCAAAGCCTGCAACAGAAAAGTAAGTTAAGTTCCAGTTCTAAAATTTTCGTATTTGTCAAATCATGAAAGATTGATATAATAAGTTGGCTATCTTGATGCCAACAATTTAATATCCTTCCGCCAGCATGGTTTTTGTTCGAAAAAATCCACTTCCTCATAAATATTGGTAAATCTTTCAGATTGGTCAGCATCAATTGGTAATGGAAAAGTAGTTGTTTAAGTAGGTCTAGCCAAAGCATTTATTATAACTTGATATTAGATTGCTTAAAAGGTCGTCACCAAGCTAGACTATCGATAACTTTCAGATTTGGTTCCAATCAAATTAGGATAGTTGTATTACCTTTCTTATTATATATATTAATGGCATCACGAAGTTGTACTAAATTCTCCTATTTATCATTATCTTGATGGTTATAAAATTTTATATTCTCATAGTAGATCGGATAATCTGTCTCCTCAATAGAATGACCTCAACAGGATTTCTAACTGGCTATATGACAGGCAATTATTCTCTCCATTCGAAAATGTAACATGTTATATATAAATGCAAAAGGATCCCGTATTAAAGATAGCATAATTAGATGGGCTTTGAATATCTCAGGTCTTGGCGCAAAATCGTGGATAAAAATCTTGCTTTCGATTTTCCATTTTCCTGCAAAACTATAGTAAAAAAGTCCTCAAGAATGCTAAATTTTATTTTTCGGTCATTTAAAATAGAAATCAAGCTTTCATATGAAAATATATGAAATGTTCATGCGACCTATTCTTGAATATACTGCAACTTGTTATTCCTCAAGTTATCGCAAATCAAATAAATTAATTGAAGGATTCCAAAAGTACCTTGTACATCGACTCTTGCCTAATAGTAATATCACTTATAAAGCAAAACTTTAATTATAGATTCTCTCTCAATTCGAATTAAGCAAGATTTAAGTCATGCATATAAAATTCGTTATGGTCGTCAAATTAAATTGTTTAAAATACTACAATTTTTGGTTAAATATTAACCCAGGAAGATCTAATGGGCTAAAATTATTTAAACCTAAATGTAAAATTAAACTAGGAGCACTTTTTTATTCGCACCATTAATTACTTGAATAAACTTCCGAATGACCAGTTTGTGCATCATCCTTAGCTATTTTAGAAGAAGATTAAATATCAGCCATGAAATTGTTTAAAAGGTTTATATTGTGAAGGTAAGTTGAAATCTTGATCATTTTTCATCCGAATATGACTAACTATCAGTAATATAATATATTCAGTTCGACTTGAGTTATTTTATAATTTTTTTTTATTTTATTATTTTCTTTTACATTGTTAGTTTTTAGTCCACTTGTATCATAATGCTTATTATATATAAATCATTAATTTCTTTTCATTGACCTAATTTTATTTTTATTAATATAGGCAGATGACGCTTGTCGCCCTGCTTGTTTGCTTGGAATAAATAAGTAATAATATAATAACTTTTAAATAATTTTTTTTCCGATGCCTGACCACCACACTCTGACCAAGACAAGAGTCATTACACAATCTGAGTGGTGTATGAAACTACCTCTGCTTCTTTCGCCATGTGACCATTGGCAAAAATTTGATTTCTGATCACACCAAGAGCTGTACTAATCAGTATTGGTGAGACCATTTACTTTCACTTTTTACGCCCTAAGAAACCCACCAGTGATCCATTAATTAACACTTGCCAAATTTCACTATAACCACTTCCATAAACTTATTTTGATCTCATAGACCTTATGTTTGATTGATATTTTCTTCAGAATCTGTTATAACGCTCTATACTCATAGAAGAAGATTAAATTTGTTAAAAATAGAATCAAGAGATGGCAAGAGATATTTATGGATTTGGCTGGCATCAAAACAGTGCAATGAAGTATGGATGTGCAAAAAGTGTAAGAGTGTCCCGAAGGTTTGAATACAATCCAGAGTGGTTCCACAGTATCAATATTGTGCGTAAAACGCTACTGATACATGCCTCTAATGTGCGTAACAAGGTGCATATGCGCCATTCGCAACAGAAAAAGATTTTTTCAGATGAAATTATTATAAATGGGACAATTTATGGCAAAAATTTGCTCCTAAAATGGAAAAAATTTAAATAATGTATAAATTTTTAAAAAATTGTAATAATTACAATAAAATTAAGGGTCACTGAGGTTTAAATCGTTAGGCTAGCTAATTCAATTGCGTTAGCTAATCGTTAGCTAATTTTCTCAGAACATCAAAGAATTTGATTTGAAAATTTAATATTTTATGGAATTCTGACTGTGAAAGCTTAACACTTAACACTTAAGAAAGCTTAAACACAGGTTATTTGCAGATTTAATCTAATTTCTTATTCAATGTGTGATTTAATTTGAATATTGAGTGAAAAATCTATTTAATTATACTTGAAAGTGATAATACATTGGTGGAAATTTGGAAAGTCAATATCGAGTTATTTAATTATTATAAATTTAGGCAAAGTTTGAGTTGAAAAAGCAAATTTTTAGGAAAAAAATTGGTTTTAAATTTGTCAGCTTTTATTTATTGAATCATAGGAATTTCAGTGAATTTGCTGAAAAAAATGCGCGGAATCAGAAATCATAGTTCTTGCTCAAGCTCAGGCTTATTAGAAATTAATTTATTGCTGCCCTATAATGTCAAAAGAATAGCAAATAAATTAGGTTGCTTAAAATTTTATGGTATTTCAAATATTTTATGGTATTAATACCATTTTTATATTTTATGGTAATGTGGTATAAAAAGAGAAGGTAGCGATTTGGCTAGTAATATTTTTTTTCTAAAGACACTCACAGTTTTTGTCTTGGCTCTCCACACTGACCCACTGTTTTACGTCCAATTCCTAAGTATTCGGTTATTTGGACAGTTTATTATCCAGTAAACATTTAGCTATTCTTTTTAATAAATGATTTGATCTGAATTTATACGATCTGAATTCATGAAGTGTCCAAATACTGATCGTTCAATTGCTTGAATAGTATCTATAATTGAATAGATTCTACAGTTTTGCATCTGCAATTGATTCAAATAGATCAAAGAAGAATCTAAATCAGTTTTTGGGTCATCAAATTTATCATGATAAATTTCGATAATCCGTATAAATTAGGTCAAATATGTCTTTTGTTCTATCTTTTAACAACAGACGTAATAATTGTACATTGCTTAGATTATTTTATAATTGTTAAATTTTTCTTCTATTTTCGAAAGGGCATTTTTAGTTTTAAATTATTTCTTAGCATATTTCGACGCGATCTTCTTTTCGATATGATGAAAATTAATTTTAGGCCGCAAATATATCAATGAAATTCACACCAAAAAATTTATTAATAACTGGTGGTGTTGGATTTATCGGTTCAAATTTTATCAACTACGTTTACAATAAATGGCCTTCATGCCGGTAAATTTTTTTTCAATTCGATATTTCATTATTAGGCTGAAAAAAATTCGAGTAAGTAGTAATTACGAAAGTAACGCGTTGCCAAAATTCATTGATATAAAATGAAATGAAATGAAATTTTTGCGAACATTTTTTTAGAATATTTTCAATAGTATTTATTAATGCCTGATAAAATTCCAGAATAATAAACATCGATAAAGATGATGACAAATTTGGTTATAGTTTTGATGAAGAAAGATATGTTTTTATCAAAAATGATATTCAAAATATAAAAATTCTTACCCATATTCTTCATTTATATCAGGTTCGTTTATTTTTGATATAATTTTCACTGGTAAATATTCAAAAATCTTTCGGTTCGATAGTTCGATTAAACCTTAAAATCACTGTAGAACATATATAAATCATTGCTAGTTAAGCCAATCTATCTGAGAAATAGGTAGAAACCAGGTCAAATCAAAAGCTTTTTGCTTTAAGATAGATGCAGTAATTCATTTTGCTGCAATAACCCATGTCGATGAATCCTATGCCAATCGAATTGGTACAATAACCGAAAATATTGTTTCAACATCGCAATTATTGGAAGCTGTCACTATTCATTATAATGGAATTGAGCGTTTTGTACATATAAGTACAGGTAGGAGATTCATGGATGTTTTCATTAAAGTATTAAGAGAAAACGGGGAGATTTTTCCAATCCAATGGGAGGCACGTAAAACGTGAATATCGAAAATTGTTGTGTTCCGTAATACGTTCGCTAATTTATAATTTATTAATTTAGGGCCCTTGATGAAACGTCGAAACGTTGGGCATCTTTGCTTTCTCTTTATTTACCTACCATATTGTTTTCTGCAACTTTGTACTTTTATTAGCCAATATATATTTATTTAATATGCAAAATTTTTGTAAAATAATAGTTGTAAAAAATGGAGATTCAGATGAAGTATATGGCGATTCACAAGAAAATGAGGATCGAAAAGATGAAAAGTCCAATTTAAACCCAACAAATCCATATGCAGCAAGTAAAGCATCGTGTGAGCTTATATTGCAAGCATATTCGGTTTGTTCTTTTTTCTTTCTTTCATTAACCACAAAATTAGTTAAATATGATATCCTTTTTTTAAACCAGGTCCTTTATCATTCGGCCTATAGTTTTTATCACTTATCATTTTTAAAAATTTATCAAAATTTTAACTTATTTTTATATTCTCTGCAAATGAAAATTTCAAGCGCATTTTAAATGTACAAAACTTTATATACAAAACTTAACGTACAATGTACAAAATGTACAAAACATAAAAACTTTTATGAAGTTAGTAATTTCTTTTACTTTATTCTTGTAAAATATAGTTAGTTATTAGTTTATTTGCTTATTTTATTTCATTACTTTGTAATTTGCAAATTCAACGGGTAATTTAATAAAAAGTATAAAATAAAAAATCAAGCATTCATATAAATTGCCATTTGTAATGGTACGAATGAATAATGTATATGGTCCTCGACAACAATTATCAAAACTTATTCCGAAATTTATCAATATAGCTATGAAAAATGGTGAATATCCGTTAATGGGCGATGGTCTACATTCTAGGTAATTTATTCAAATATTTAGATAAATCGTCTGCTAACCGTTGAAATCACTTGAATTTTTTTTATATATTAGAAATAAATAATTCAATTTTCTGGTAGAATTTAATTTTTTCTCCACTCACTATTTCTGGTTGGACTCATCAGCTGGCTTGTCGGACCTAAGCCTAAGCCTTTGCCACTGAGTCGCTTGGTGATAAATATGAGTGGCCAGCATCATCTGGATTTTCAATAAGTTCACACTTACTAGAGGTAGGTTCTCAGTATCGACTCCCGACGAAAACGAGAGCAACAATTCACTACTACTTTACTCCACCTCATAAAAATTTTCATGAAACATGATGAACTGATATTTTAAAAAAATCTGCTCACGTTTTTCACTCTTATCCTAACAATACGCACCATTTCTGATAGCTCTATTAATTCTAAACGTTAAGCGTTTTGTGCCATTTGCCTAGAGATAAGAGTAAGTTCCCAATCATTAACCACTTTAATTTCATTTCATTTTAAATCATAGGTTCGTCCTCGCATCAAGTAATCTATAAAATTGAAGCAACATAATTTGAATTGGAATTTATGCACTGAATTTATAAGAAACTGCAATAAGGATATTTTCAGAAGTTGGATGTTTGTAGACGACTGTTGTGAAGGTATAAAACGAGTAATGGAATCTGGTCGATTGGGTGAAATTTACAATTTAGGTACCGATTTTGAAATATCGAATTATGATGTAACAATTCAAATACATCAGTTAGTATCCAAATTACTTAATAGGTGAGGTTTTTTAATATGTATGTTTTGAAATATTTTAGAAACTTTTTCGGCCAATTTTTATTGAAAATCTTTTTAATGGCACACGAAATATATTCCTATAGTTTTCTTAAGAGCATCCACCATTGTCTGATTAGGCTCACTCCACTGGCTGGTCAGATATGCAGGGACTTGGCGATAGAAATACGGGTGAATCACCAGCATCACCCCTCGCGCAGACTTATTCCTTCGGGAGGCAGAATCTCAACACTGGAGCTTCGAGTTAAGCAACAACCTACCAAGCCATTCTATTCTCCCTTCTTTTCTTTAGGCGACACTGCCGCCCTAAGCGTCGGCGAATCCAAGCCTCGAGTCTTTGCGACAATTGGTATCACCACTGAGGTACCGATGCACCATAGTTCAATATTACAAAGTATAAATAAATAACAAATAAAAAAACTTGTTAAAGGGATTCGACGAGCGCGAATTTCTGCTTTATCGCAGATCGCCCATACCATGATCGACGATATTTAATTAATTTCAATAAAGTCGAAACCGAAATGAACTGGAAATGCACTACTGATTTTAGAGATGGCCTCTACAAAACTATTCAGTATTATATAAATGATTACGAAAGAATAGAGAAATTTGCTAAATTAAAGCAAGGCTAACAAGTTGTTATTAAAGTCGCTTCAGTGACAATTATGAAAATTACTCGACATCCTCTAAAATTTCGAGCAATTTCGAGATTTTTTGGTTCATCCATAGAACTGTCATTGTTATTTCATTCCTTACCACTGATGGCAATCATCCTTTAAATAATTTTTCAAATATTAAAAATGTTATATTGAAAATTCTACATTTCTGTTACAACGCTATAAATTTTAACTATGCATTACTATACTGTTGAGTGAAATCATCTTTGAAATTTTATTGACTAGCGACTTTAAAAAAATAAAATAAAAATTTATTTTTAAAAATAAAAATTTATTTTTAAAAATAAAAGTAGAAACCGAAATCTACACAAAAGACCGGTATGTCACAATTACATGGCAAGTAGACTTACTCAATGATTAACGAATTCGTTGCACGCATATTAATAAATAGAAATAATGAGTTTAAAAAGTACAATAAAATGAGGTGATAAACATATTGTTGGATATGCTATGAGGTAGCTTTTTGGGCGAAAAAAGGCTTTGGAATAAAGCAAACGAATACATAGTAATAATTATACATGAAAATACTAAATAAAAAAGCAATATACGTAAGCCATCTAGTAATGGCATTTATAAAGTATTAAAGAGAAAAATAATAATAACTAATTTCATCATTACTGGATATAATATAATTTTGAATATTGAATATAATAATAATATTATTGAATATAAATTTCACCGAGTATCACCGAGTACGTACCGGATATTATCGATTTTACTTTCTGACCTTGCATTTCCACCTTCAATTCCAACATAGAAAGCGCAGATCAAATCGTCAAGATTTAAATTTTTGACTTTGAATATTTTTAAATTTCAATTTTTAAATTTTTTGCATAAGATTTAAATTTTGTAAAATATATTTGATTGGACAATTTATCAAAAATAATTTTTCTCCATTCCATCAGTATTTCGCTTCTAATGACAAGTTTATGTTTAAGTTTAAAAAGATTGGAACTCATCTTTCAATCAAAATATTTAAGGTTAAAAAGGTTAATATTAAATATTTAAGGTTAAAAAAGGTTATACAATATTTTAAAAAATAAAAATTGCCAATTATTTGAAAGCATTAATAAATAATTAATAATAATTAATAATAATTAATAAATAATAATTTAACATATAATATATTCCAATTTTCAATTAGGTCAATTTTGGTACAGGTTTTATTGATGGGAATAACTAATCAAAAATCTACCAATGTTTCTTGTCATGAAAATCTTGTTGTGTTAAGAACATTGTGTTAATGTCGTAAGGTCAGTTGAAATAATTACAAATTTCATTTAAACAAAAATCCCACTCATCAATGCCAAATGACGGTATAAGTTTCACTGTTTCATATAAATTTTGAATATGCTCCTGAAAACAAATTTTCTTACCAGCATAGACATTATATAACAAGCATTAAAAATGAAAGGAATAAAAATAATCAACTATCTTTTATGTGAAAATTTTTTATACCAGAATTCTTATACAATCCTGATTCTTCGAATTTTTTTTATTTTATTATTCCTAAATAATAAATATATATATATATATATATATATACGTATGAAACATGAAATATTATATGTATGAAATATGTATGAAAATATATATATATATATATGTATGAAAAAATACATATATATATATATATGTATGAAGCATGAAATATATATATGTATGAATATGTATAAAATATGAAATATATACATATATATATATATGTATGAAACATGAAGAAAGCAGGACTAAAAGGCAATACTGAGGCATTGATTATAGCAGCATGGGAGCAAGCATTAGGCACTAGATCCATTGAAATAAGGATCTACCACACTAGACAGGACTCTAGATATGTATAGTGGCAGGATGCAAGCAAGCAAAAACAATATACAATACACAATGAAAGGGATAAACATGTAGCTGGCATCATCTACAGGAATATCTGTTCGGTGTGTGGTTTATCCTCCCAAGACTAAATCCTATGAAAGATCCTTCAGAAAAGGGTCGCAAAGAACAAAAAGGCGAAGATCCTGTACAACTTCCTTATCCAAACAGACAAACAAGTGCTGGTCAATCAACCAGATATCGTGGTAATAGACAAGAATCAGAAATCAGCACTGGTAATTGATATATATACCAAGCGACAGAAACAATAGAAAGAAGGAATATGAGAAGTTGGAGAAATACCAAGGGCTGAAGGAGGAACTAGAGATGTGGAAAGTAAAGGAGAAAGTAACCCAGTGATAATTGAAGCATTTAGAATTGTGATCCTTAAACTAGAAAAAAAGTGGCTTCAGACTCTAGGAACAACATCAGAGATCCCCATACAGAACAGCGCACTAGCTAAGATACTGCGCAGAACCCTCAACCTCTCAGGCCTCTGGTGGAAAGCCTGAGATTGAGAATAATCATAACCGCCTATAGGGAGAGAAAAGTTAATTTAATTAATAAAAATTCTTATGTAATATAGCATCAAGTGAAGGCTTCCAGGGACAAAAATATAAAATAAAAATATAAAAAGAAAAGATATTAAAGCAAAAAGACATACGGTTAATAACGGAATAAAAAGAAGTAAATTGCCAAAACGGGTATCCGTATCCTCAAATTTTTGTTCATTATACCACTTATGTAATTCAATTACAACTCGATTGCTTGATGACTGCGCAATTGATTTGGTTTTTGAAGATAACGATAGACCATTAAGATTCCAAAATATAATCAAACGTAATGCCATCATCTCGCCTTCAAAAAAAAAAATTTATTGATCATATGCATTAAATTTCTAATGCTAATAAAATCGCAGTATTGAAACCAATTAAATAAGAAGTTCATCAAACACTTATTAAGCCTAAGCCTAAACCTAAGCCTAAGCCTATGGGTTGTTACTCAATTGGGAGCGCAGATGCTGAGGTTCGACTCCCTGTAGAAGCAATTAGGCTTAGACTTAGGCTTAGATATCAAATTATGTGACTGATCAGAATTTTCATTTCCAGTTTTTAGCAAATACAAAAAACAAAATAACGAGAGCGGAGGCTAAGATTCACCGTATTTATTCACAAATCATTCTCCGGCGAAGTTTTTATCCTACTAATTAGTATGGAGTCAGCAATATATACTGATGTAACAAAATGAATAATGGCAACCTGCAGTAAGATTCATTTGAATCATGGGAACTATCAATTCGGTGATCAAACGAAAACTGTTTTCTCCATACATCCTAAAAAAAAAGAAAATAAATTGCGAATGCAAATCTTTTTACGAATTATTATGGCTCAAAAAAATTTATTTTTCATCAAAAATAATACTAACATTGTTTGAATCGCACGGTTTTGATTTTTTTCATCTGATAATTCTGGTGGATTTCCAGGAACTATATATGAATTATTAACAAGAATTATTTTATCATGATAACCCAATTCAACTGTATGGAAAATATTGTCAAGAAGTAGATAACGTAGAGCAAACGCTCTCAAAAGTTGTGCTTTATCTAATGCGCTTTCAATTGACCTAAAATGAAAAAAAAATTATTGAGTAGTTCTCACTAGTAGATTTTTAAGCAACTACAGTATGGTCTACGGATCAATATGTCGACTTGTTTAAAAACGATGCATCTTTTTATTTAAGAATTAACAATTAAGTCAAATGACAAAAATACACACATAAAACTCAGTGACATCAGCTCGTTCTACGGTCATCTAATTTTAGCCAATAGTTATTCATGATAATCTTCAATAAACTATCCAGCCAAATTTACCTGAAGTCTTCCAATTTAAACACCCATTCAAACATTAATACCATTTGAACTTTAAAAATTATTAAATAATCAAAACCAATAGCCGGTTTCTTTAATATTTTTTCGATATTGTCAGTAAGAATTTCTTCAATACATGAGCATAGCATCATATGTCTTCTTATTTTCTAAAAAAAAACAGATCGTGTTTTTTAAATTTTTATACCCTTGGTAACGACATTTCCATCCTGAAAATGCTTATTCTCAAGTTATTGTTATAGCTTTAAAACTTCATACTTGTTCGTTGTAATCATTCACAAGACATTCGATAAATGAAGCATTTCTGAGTGAAATAACTGGATTTATGTCATAATTTGGCATCTGCAATAAATTTTTTTAAGAATAATGAAAGAATTTTATTTACTTCCTTACCATAGATTTTCAAACTCTTACAATATTAAAGCTAATCAATCGAAAAAACAGAAATAAATTTATAACCGTTTGTTTATAGGAGCTGAATGAAGAGCAAGATTGCTTGAAACCAGATTCACGCTTAGGCTGAACTGCTTCAATATTCATATTATTAAAATAAATTCAGATAACAAAGTACCCGTGACTCAAAAGAAATAATTGACCATTTAAACAATTTTTTAAAAAAATTTTAGCAAAGGAAATGAAGAGTAACCTCTACGATCCATTCCAACCATTTCACACTTTTTCAGTCGACAAGCGCGACAAGCACATCTCGCACCTAAAATAATTAAAATTGCATAATAATCGAAAATAAGGTCACTGAGACCAAAAAACAAATTAAGGTAGTTGAACTCGATAAGACGATAAATAAATTGAAAAATCATAAGCATCAGTCGACATAATCGGCAAAGACGTAATGCAAAGAAAGGGGGCTCAATAATATTAAGAAATTTTCTCCTAAGAAAGGAAAGAGAAGTACAGATGGATATCAGTCTAAGGTCTATCAATTTTCACTGTTACACACTATACTAAGTTTACTCGCTTCAAGCGAGAAAAATCCAGATTTACATCTATGAACTAATCTGATTCAAACAATTCTATATATCAAAAAAAAACACTTTTATCGACAAGACAATTTCCTTCTCGTCGACAGCAATATTTTATTCCATAAGTAACTGCTCGTCGAAAAAAAGCATTACAACCACGACACGACAGCACACCGTAATGATAACCATCTGCTACATCACCGCATATACTGCACTTTTCTAAATAATATTAATGTTTTAAGAAAATGGTTAATTGGTTAACTGAAAATAAAATGGTTAATAAAATAAAAAAACTTGTCACTACACATTTTCTTCATTTAATCAGTTTATCACATTTACTTCCTATATAATTCATAAGTTTATATATAATATTATAGCCATTTATAATACATTTCTATTTTTCGCAGACAGAATGGCCGAGTGGACGACAGTGGCTTAGATTATTTCTCAACAGAGAGGTAAATGTTCAGCCCCTTTCTGCCGACAAGAATAAACCTGTTATCTGTATGTAGTACTGGCTATCCACCTATATTTCTATCACCAATGACCCCTTGGCAAGAAATTCTAACCATATTAATAATCAGCGGAACTAGCCAAAGTCGAATTGGTACCATCCACTTACTCATTTCCAAAACAAGGCTTTCAATCATTTTTATGATTGTTACATTAGAAAAAAACTTACCAAATTTTCCGATATTTTCTAAAATGTTTTCCATTAAATTTCGTCTAAAAATAAAAATTTGAAAGATTACATTATTGCTTGCTAGAATACCAAAGTAAAATTATATTTATTATAGAATATGAAGTTAATAAGATTATATTTATTATAGAATACGAAGTTAGCTTTTCCCACGTAAAAGATGATAAAGTAAGTACTGTCCGAAAATTATGCGTCAGTAAAAGTAAATTTAAATTTAAATCAAACCTAAAATAAACCAAATTTATATCATCATTGGTCACTGCCACTATCACCCATTATCACTATCATTGTTAATAAAACCATTAGCTTCGATCCGAATAAATTTTTTTACTCGAACTCGAATTTAAGAAAAGAGGAGGCAAAGATACTACCCATATTAATCACCTAAGTTTGAGCTAACGACAAACATCGGAACGACGAGTATTTATTGTTACTTTGCTTATTACTTTTATTGCTATTATATTGCTTTTTCTATCTTTTGCCAGTTAAATATTCAATATTCAAAATTATATTAAATATTCAAAATTATATTAAATTTTGTAACGAAACCCGCAACAGCGGGGAAATTCGAATTTCTATAAAAATCATAGAATATTTTTATGGAATATTTTTAATCAATTCTTGGAGAATTTATTTTCCAATTCTTGGAAAATTTTTGTCCAAGAATTACTTAGATTAGTTACTTAAAAATTACTTAGAAATTGCTTTAAAAAAAATTTTCGAATAGTTAAATAAATAATAACGGAATTTTAATGGAATATTACTGGATTTAATATGACCCCTTCGTTTGACCTTTTAAAAAACAAAAAAAATTTATTTTAATAAAAAAACGACGGAAAAGAACGAATCGAATTATTTTTTCTATTTTAAATCCTTTTTCACTTTAAAAAAAAATATTTTAATGAAACAAAATCGAACATTTTACAAAAATTTAGATAAAATTATTATTAAGTCATCTGAAATAAAATTTTGAATTAAATTTTAAAAATTTTAAAAATTGGAATAGTGAAATTAATGGAAAAAACTGAATTCTGGAAAAAATTAAATAAAATTAAATTTAATAAAATTAAAATTAAATAAAAATCAATTTTCAAACAGAAATATGAAATTTAAAAACTATTTTTCTAAAATTGATTAATCTATTTTAAAAAAAAATAAAATCAAATAAAAAATAAAACTCTCAAAAAAGTAAAATTCCAAGTTTAAAAACTAAATTTTAAAGACCACAATAAACATGTAATGCGATTTACTACACTCGCATGATTAATTATATAATTACAATATTCACACATTGATAATTAAAACTGTGATAATATCTAAAAAAGGACGAAAAAAATCGTATTTATAAATTAATAAATGCATTGATCAAAAATGAAAATGAACAACCAAAGAATAACAGTTAAATTAAAGTAGGAAAATTCCAAACACATTGGTTAAGTATTAGAAATTAGCGGCTTCCAACAATGACAATAATATGTACCACAGCCTGGATTATCGAAGATGGTACATCAAGAATGAAGTTTTACTACCACATCACCGATTTATTTCTAAAACGCAACGGAATATGATTCACAACCATCCAATTGCTTTGGCCATCTCTAATAACCATTAAGACTTGGATAAAGTTTCTAATGAGCACCAGACGCCAGAGCTAGGAATGCCACCTGAACGTTAGTTTACATTTTTATGTCAAAAGATAAGGAGTCCCATTTCACATCTCAGAACGAAAAGATAATTACCTGATAATGTCTCTTAAAATTAAGCTCGTTTTTAATGAAAGAAAACATTTAATACATAAAAAACGCAATTTATTAGAAAATACAGGTGTAATAGGTGCAAAACCTTACTTTATCGAAAATATTATAATAGAAAAATTTAAAATAAAATTTGACATAATTTTGACAAAATTTGATACAATATAATATGAAAAAGTCGAATTAATATAGTTAAACAAAATTTCAAAATAAAACTTTCACCCGATATTCGAAATTAAGAGACCATTGACTCATATAGTAAAATTTATTCTCCTGCAAAAATCAATTTTTTAAAAAATTTTTCTCAATTTTTTAGAAAAATTGTACAATTGTACAATTCGATTACATACCAAATTTAGGATAGCCAATATTCCAGCTTAATCAAAAATTAACTTCAAAGATGAAATTAAAAAAAAAACCATAAACTGACTCCGCTGAAATATAAAAATTTAGCTTATCTGTCATGCGGGTTATGTGAAAGATTAGCCCAAAATCTAAAAGAGCATCTGAAAAATTCCCTTACCTCTGCAACAAAGTGTAATCTGAGATGTCAGAATCACGCACTTTACAAAATAGCAAAACAAACTTCTCCTGATAAACAAAAAAAATGAAGTCTCCTACGGAATTGAACTTTCTGAATGGTTCCGACGCCTTTCACTGTATAATATAATTTTTTATCATTTGAAAAAACTAAGAGCATTATTTAACTAAATAACTAAACAATTTTTTATTTTAAACAAATTTTTAAAAAAAATTTTATATGGATTACTGAAAATTCCTTTCTTTTCCTAAGAGTGAATCCCAGCATCCACCCTTATTTCCCTTTTAAACTCAACGCTTTCAACTTAAGAAACACAAAAATTACTTGACCAAGGCTCTTTAAAATGGAAATTACGAATGATTAACATAAAATAAATGATAGCGATTTTATAACCTACTTTTTTTTAATATACAAAAAGAAATTCACGTGGAAATATGGCTAACAGGTCAAAAATTAATAGAATATCATATCAATAAATTATTTTGAAATGGAATTGAATGAAAACTAACAAATTAATCTCAATTCGAATACATTTCGGACATTTAATCAATGATTTAATCAATTTTTTAGCACATTTTCCATGAAATAGCGACCCACATTCATTGCAACGATATATTTTATTAAGTTGAAATGGAAAAAGTAAATCATCTTCTGCACATAGTTCACAAATAAATGCTTTCGCTTTACATCTCTATAAATTATTCAACGGAAATCATCCTGTAGAATATATTACCGGTATATATCTAACAATGCTAATTTGCCTAATACTTTAGGGGCTAGATAAATTCAAAGAAAATCGTGAAGAAAAGCTAGCTTTGTAGTTTGTTAAGTAGGTCATATCATTATATGCAATTATCAAATAATATTAATTAAATATCTTGCCGACAATAGAACTCCAGTATTCTGAAATGTATAAAACTATCTGAACCATCAACCTCTAAAGCTAGTGAAGAACGATTACTATTTCTAGTTAAATTCACTCCTCTGACTATGAGTATGCCTAAGAAAAAGAAAAACAATTAAAAAAAAGGTACCTTTTAGGATAAAAATAAAAAAGAATAAAAAAGTGGTTTAATAGAAGAAATGAAAAGAGATTCACCTCACAGTTTTCGATATGTAATTGACCATACTGCACCAGTGGATGAATAAGTCGAAATAATTCACCGTTCTCAATATTCTCTAGATCACTCAACGAAAAAACGTCGAAAGCTGTTAAATAATGATTTGGTACGGAAGTAAACATCGTATTAAGACTAAAAATTGAGAAAATTTCCCAGAAAAAGATAAAAAATCATGAAGAAAAATTAAAGGATGAAATTTACAAGCACTTAATGATTATAATATTATAATTATGAGAGTGGAAGATATCAAGAATCTATCCATTCTCGACCACTGAAATATATTTTCATCGACCGAATAAAATCCCACATAACTGCATCCATCTTCGCTCAAAAACTATAAAGAACGTTGCCTACGCTAATTAGGCAATGTTTTTTGTCGTCCATAGAAGGATATAATACAAATATCACTATTTATTAAATTCTGCTTCGACATCAAAAGCAAAGAGGATTAACAAAAAGCTGAAGTGAGACAGAGAGAATCAGAAAAGATTTTGAACATATGGATTTAGACAGTGGAAAAAGGAGTGAGGGATTTAAAGAAGTCACACTTTTAATATCAGATAGGATAGGGTCGAGAGGTTTGGAGGCACGAAGAAGGATGATTATAATAGAATTTAAAAATGCACAAATCAAAAAAAGATATAGCCATGAACTTGATATTTATAGGTGGAGACCAATTTTCATTAAACAAAAAAAAAACATTAATTATGAAAAAACATTAAATTCATTCTAATATAAAATTTATTGAAATTTATTTAAATATGACTTGCTAATAAATTAAATGAAAGTTCCAGATTAAACTTTTAAACCTTCCATGCTTTGTTTGAACTGTTTTAGCAAGTTCACACGTCTTTATATACGACCAAATATGAACAAGCTGTATTCTTAAATCATGTAGTTTTTTAAGTGATCGACTGTTGTTATAGAAACGACAAAAAATAGCAGAGGCATTGATAACTGGTTGAAAATAATTGTCACTAAGGAAACGATATGCCATATCGCAAACCGGATATTCCCTTAAATATAATATAAAAATTTTTTTCTAAAATATTAATAAAAAATTTCTTCGAAGTTATCTGCCTTTAAACACTCCATACATTTTACGGGCCAAGTGGATAAAATCTCACATGATTGCATCCATCTTCGTTCAAATATCACGTGTATTAATTATGTAGTGACATAGCGTCGTCTTCGCTGGTTAGGGCACGTTCTCTGTTGTTCACCACAGGAACTGACGTATATACTTGCCGAACCCTGTGATGGTTGGCGTCAAAAGCGAGGAAAACCAACAAGACCTGGACTGACACGGTTAGGAAAGACTTTGAAGGTACATATGGACCAGAAATACATGGATTTTGACGATGGAAAAGGAGTGGTTTCAAACGATGGCATCACTAATTACTAAAGCATACTTTGGCATCAAAAACAAAAAGGATTAATCAAGACCTATACTCAATTAGAAGAGATTTTAAAGATATGAGATATGAGCTTAGATGGTAGAAAAAGGAGTGACTTTTTTAAAATCAGATCGAGTGACTTGGAGGAAGAAGGATGATTATAGTAAGATATAAAATGCATCAGATCGCGCAGCTTGCAAACGTCTTATCCTTGTAACCAGTGGAGCTAGCCCAACCAGTACTGGTGAAAGCTGTTAAAAGAATAGATTCCTTTTTTGAAATATCCAATGATTATTACCATTATCATTATTTATTGTTATCATTATTTGGCTATATTGGCATATTGGCATATGTTATTTTAGTATATTGGTCATTATTAATACATAATTATATTCGTAATTTTTTACTCAAAAAATTTTGAAAAACTATTCCTGATGTAAAAGGTTATCAGTTATTTATCATAGGGCTACCATCATGCCTAAACGAAAAGCTTCTCAATATTGTCTTGGACAATTTCATGGAAATTTTACATTCTGCCTATTTCTATTGTTTTCTTAGACTATTTATCGATTCTATCTACTTTTGTATCGATCCTTAATTCATCCTTAAATCTTGATAACCTTTCAAATATCTAAATAAAATAAACAAAAAGTAATAAAAATCACTGAAATAAAATGCTAAAAATTCTTTTATTCACTAATAAGACTAAAGAGTAAACAAAAAAAAAAAATTTTATCGCTATGAACAGAACTATTCCCGTAACAAGCTGGGATTTAAAATATTAAACTTTTTCGGACCAAATATTTCGGACCTTTCATTTAAAAAAAAATTATTTCTACTTAAGGATAAGAAATAACGAGTTCCGATAATTACTTAAAATTCCACTGATGAATGATACGAGCAGGAGTTTTTGTCTTAGATCCTTGATGACACCTCTGGCAAAATAATCGACCAAAATAATCACAGTAACGCATACGACGAGCATAAATTTTTCCTACTTTCATCCCACAACCAGCGCAACGACCATTTTGTTGATCTAATAACTTTTGCAAACTGCAATAGAAAAAAATTAATTAAAAATAAGTGAAAATAAAAAATTTTGGAGATTAATTCGCTCAGCCCTAATTTCTAATTTCTTGTTTTGCCTTTGGAAAAATTCCCACAAATTGTATATATAATTGTATATTTTATTTTGTTTTATATTTTTATTCCATTCTTATCGGTAAAATGTACTCTAATATAATTTCAATAATATAATTTTCCAATTTTTTAAAAATAATTTTTCATAATTCTTTTTCATGTTTTAATTCCTGTGTTAATAACCAACAATAATAATACTTGAGTTTACTTTTCATGGAATTTAAAAAAATTTAAACTTTTGTGCAATGGATTAAAATCCTTGCAAAAGAAAAGGGAAATACCAAACCTATAACACTGAGCATGCAAAGAAAAAATCCATTGTTTTCGCGGAGGAGCCCAATCATCAAATCCTCTTAAATGAATCACACGACCATTATTATCAACTTCATCATTATTCAATATTTTCTCAGTTGGTAAAGGAAGTATCTGAAATTTTTAACAATAGTTGATCCCGATATTTCACATAATTCTTTAATTTCTCGATTTATTTTATATGATTCACATATCGGATTTATTAGAAAACATACCAATTGAGGAGCATCTGCATAAGATACAATCCACTTGACATCATGTGCCATTTCAGGCGGATAAAGATTTAACAAATGGCGCAAAAATAAAGCAGCAGTCGCTTCGGCCGAATTTTCATCACCACCAGCGATCATTGAAATATCGCGTTCCATTTTAAGAATTCTGCATATAAAATTTTTGCAATGCACATTAAATAATTATTAACATAGTTCTTTTTTTCGGATATAACTCCAAACTAATAGAGTGATAATCTTAGAAAGTCATTTGAACATATATGTTAAGGTAATTTTCAACACTAATCGAAATATCTAATTTTCGCAAAAAATAACCTAGGCTCGATATCGCTACTTTTAACAGAAGTATCATTTGGGCTGGCGTAGAAAACTGATGTTCCAGCTCTGATCTCACCATCTTTTGTTTGAATTGAGAAAGTTGACTACAATTGTTGAAAATATGAACAAATCTGAGCAAAATGAACATTAATGAAATGGCAAATAAGACCTTGCATTTATCATCACATTTTTTACCAATTTTACTTTCGCATCTTAAACGCTCCATTGCTCCAATCAACATTTCACTCAGATATAAATGCATATTCTCCTGTAAGAAAAAAATTGTAGCAATATGAAATTTTAAACAAAAACATTATTTAACATTTTATATATTATTTTATACCTTATCTTTCGAAAAAAAAGATTTTATTTTTTTTATAACGACAGGCACAATTTTTAACTTGGCTACATCCATTAACTGTTAAAAAAACTCTTTCGTTAACAAAAAACATATAAGTTGATCCCCAACAGCCGTTCAGACCATTGTTGACAAGTTCCAAAAGAAAGAAATTGATTCCATTTTCCTTTTAACCAAAGGAACGGAACACTGAAGCAAATTTTCAAAAAATTAAATCAAACATTCGAAAGTAGGGCAAACCAATTCTAAATCACGAGAAATCTCTCGATCACCAATTCGAGCTTTGATAAATTCACTTTTCATCGACTCCCAATAATTGCTCGATAATTTGCCATTATCATTTGGCTGCAAATGATCTTTGTCATTTCCGTTATGACCCTCGCTTAATTCGCTGCTTATCTGAAAAAAGAAAAAAACGCTCAATTTAAAAAGGCTTTTTTCTTCTTCCAACATCAGGCACCATTTCTTGGCTGGCATAGGTTAGTTATTATGCTCTTAATTTTGTGTTCCTCTTTTCAAAAACAAGAATTATCTTCTTTTTCAAGGAATTCGGTAATAAATAAAAATAAAGAGAGGACTCGTATACCCCGTTCTGCGACACAGAATTGGCTGAATTGAGATGCTCAGCATCTGAGCTAATCGCTTTCTCTTGATCTGCGCTATTGCTTACCATTAATTTCGTAAAAGATTATTTTTTCTATCTTTCTGAAATAAAAATGAAAAAATTGTTTGCAGATGATAACAACGATCATACAATAGCAATAAGTAAAAGTAAAGTAATGAATAAAAATAATAAAAATGAAATAATAGAAACAATAAAATAATAATAAGCAAAATAATAAGCAAAATAATAATAGAAACAATAAAATAATAATAATAAGCAAAAACAATAAAAGAATAAAAACAAAATGAAAGTAGAAATAAGAATTTTGAAATTAAACCGAAACTAATGAAAACCTATAAAGTATAGTAGTAATAGAATAAATTTAAAGAGAATCAGAGAGTGACCTATGACCCGAAATCTCCGAGGAGTGCAGGAAAAATTTATAAAAATCAAAAGTAAAACTTTATTACGAACTTTATTTCGATATTTAATATTCAAAACCAGCAATAATCAATTTTCTCTTATTCTGCCACCCTTAATGATTTATTTTAATTCCAAAGGAACCTGCTCCCTTATATCCCCAATTTATTCGTTAGATACCCACTTAAAAAAGAAAAATCGTAGAAAGCGGCGCTTCATGCAAAACTAACCGGCCGCGAAATCAGATCTATCAGTCGAATGTCTATCTGTCGTTTCAGTTTTATAAAATTTGTATTCCATTTTTTTTGCTATAAAATGGACATATTTGGGTTGGGCCGCGTGGGGTGAGGTTCAGTATATAAGAGAAATGATAACTAAGGTTGTGGAATCTGTAATGTAAGTAGTGGAAAATGGTACTAGTAAGTTCTGGGTCCTATCAATTTTCCGCTGCATTTTGTGCTTCCAAATTGTTTAAAGAAAAAGTCCATAAGTTTGACTCCATAGGCTTTACTGGACTGCTAAAGAGATCCATGGCGTACAAAAAGATTGCAGGGTCTTCTCGTGTTACCGCATTGTTTTAGTTCTATTTCCTAATTCAATTTCCGTATTTGGCATTAGCTGTTTATTTGCAAGAATCGTTTGAAAATAACACATTTCACTTGTTGTTCACCCATGCAGTTTGCTGTGGTACCAAAGTATTCATTGATTTAAGGTTTTTCTAGTTATATATAAAAAAAAGTAACCTGTCATGCCGATTCTTCATTATTGCCCTTATTATCTGTTATTATGTGCAATTTCATAATTCATCTCTTTTATAACTTTAATTGTTCTATTATGGCTGATTGTTGACTCGAAAGCAGGCTTACTTAACTCGTTTGTCGGAGTAAATCATATTTTATTATTTTGTTATGTTATTTTTAAAAAATAGAATCCACGAAGCCGACTAGGCCATATATTTTTAGAGCGAAGGCCAGGGTCACAGAAAAATTTGTTTATCATTAGGTATGGCACTGTTACTAATAATGTATTTCAAATTATTGCTGGTCGATGTAGGCTAGATGAATTGGCTTAAAAGTAGGAATTCTTGGTCTTTCGCATCTGTTTGCCAGTGAATTTATGGTCCTAATTTTTTTTTTAGCACTTATTTTTATTATGCTAGTCGCTCTTGTTGTTTTAGACATCATTTTGAGTTGTTTTAGAAGATAGTTTTTAAATAATAATATTGTAAAGCAGTGGAGCCATAAAAAGTGCCTAATTGGTGTTGTGGCAGATAAATACTCAGTTAACCAGTAAACATAGATTTTCGGAAACATAGATTTTGTATAGAGCCTTCTTCTGAGGCCACTCATTTTTTATATATCACTTGACTATAAAATCTTCCCTGATCATATCAATTTAAATCTTTCTGATTTTCCATACCATCCATTATAGGATTTAGCAGATAGAGAGATGCATAGTTTCTTCCGATGGACGATGAAGAATAGCTTAACCAGCGCAGATGATGGCTTTCTTAATGCAGGTGGTAAATGGTACGTACAAAATATCTTAGGCAAGAACTACTAAAAGCAGATAATAGCTTCTATTATCTTCACTGTCATTGATCATGCTTCGCATGATAGGGTAGTCAATTAGATGCGAAATTTTGTTTCGTGGCTAATTTCGTGACGATTCCAATGAAGCTTCTCCGGACGAAAAAGAGCAATTTAGCGATGGATGTAACAATCCAAGTTGATTTTTATCTTCCCTCTGGTCATTGATCAATGCTGAAGTGATGAAGATCGGTTCATCTAGCCGTCTATTTCAACCACTCTTCTTGCTTTCCCTCCAGAAAGGGGGCGATCTATCCACTTTCAGAAGTTTATAGCCATGATGAATTTAGATGCCTCAAGGATTCCATAAATTTTTACCATCCGATTATATATAATATAGTTATTTCGAAATGTACTATTATATTATTCTATAATTTCCTCTTTATTTTTTCTTTAAATTTCTCTTTAATTTTTGTCATATTTTCTTTTTTTCTTATTAATTTTTTATTATTTGTTATTTTAACTGTTGTTATGAATACTTATGAATATTTTATTATTAAGAACATGGCGTTGTCGCCTTGCTTGACTGCTTTTCAATAAATAAATAAATATGACTTTCCATCATTCATATGTGGTTTTTAAGGTTGTACTTTTAATTTTAATAAAATAACATTTTATATATATATATTTATAAAACGATAGAATTTCCACTGATCAAGGTTTAAAAATCTATTGTGAAAAATTAATTAAAAAAATACATGAATAGCTAATGAAGCCAGATAATTTATTATTATAGAATTTTTCTAAAAACATCATTTGTGGTTAGGCCTATCCCATAGCTTTATTGGATTAGATAAATTCTGCCAGAGAGGCCCATTTGGCGATAGAAATACGAATTAGGTCGCATGAACCTTTTGAATTAGAGGTTTTCTCTTGCTGGGGATAGAACTCCACCATCGCTCCGAAATTAGAACAACAACACACTGAGCCATTCCTCGCCTCTTTAATAACGAATACTAATTGGAAATCAGATTGAAAAAAATAAAATCTGTTAAATGTCCTTTAATAATCTAAAGATGAATTATTTCGCAAATTTAAATATTTCAACAAAAAAGAAATATTCCTATTATCCAATTCGAATCTCCCATATTTGCTTCTGTTTTATTTTTTAATTTATTCCAAAATTTTTCTAAAAGTTCGCAATAAAAAGTAAAATGAAGAAAAGTGATCAACAATTGGAATTTTAAAAAAATCTTATCATTAGAAAAAATAATTATTAGAAAAAAGAATGAAAGCATAAATTTTTTTAATGAAAAATCGCATAAATTTTCATAAATTTGAAGCTATAAAAGCAAAAATAAACAAGTCTAATAAAATTATTACTGTTATTAATCTTAAGTTTAAAATGAAAAATTTATGATAATCGCTTGATTGTCAAGCTCAAATAAATGAAAATAAAAGTTCAACAATTATAGGTAATTAAAAATAAGCAATCAAAAAAACTAAAGATAACTACAACAACAATATTACTGATAATGATAAACTGATAAATAAATTGAAACATATTACATTGGCATTAGACGGTGAAAAAAAAGAGTAGTACAAATTTCAAATATAGCGTCGTAGAA